TTGGGTTAGAATACGTTATATTTAACTACAACTTTCAAATATTTTTAATCTTAAATACTAGTAGACTATATTTCTTTATAAATCAAGTAAATGTAGTAGAATTACTTAAATTATTTAACATTATTTTTTCATATCATATATCAAGTATGTATATTACCAGCTCCCAATTTTTTTTTTCAAATATTAAGGAAAATTTTTGACAATGAATAGCTATTTTATTTCTTTGATTCAGTAATTTTTTTATAAACTTAGTAATATATATTTTCTCATGTATGCACAAAGGACATGGGTCATTTAATGACCTACATATTCTAGCTTTTCTTATATATATATTTACACACGCACGCACACACACACACACACACATATATATATATATTGAAGCATGTTTCAATGAATAATTAAATAAAAAAGTAAGTAAATAGGATGTCTTGACGGCAAAAATATCATCAAGACGTCATTTGTGGGATACAAGTCCCATCGTACAACATTTAAAAACGCATCCCTGTCCACTTTCACAATACAGGAAAATATGGTGTTCCCCGAGGTTCTACCCTGTGTCCTACACTCTTTCTGATCATCCTGATGTCATCAGTTCCCAAGTAGACATCTAAGCAGACGAAACTCCTGCCTCAATAGCAAATCTGATATCGCTGACAAAACCAAGCTGGCATTGGTCTCAAAAAGGACCTCCAATTTGTTGTTGACTGGGTCAGGAAATGGCTGGTAAAAATTAATGCCTCAAAAACAAAACTGCCTTCATTTACCCGCCACAGAGAACACTCCTTCCCAGTAGAATGTCTGATGCTCAACTCCATGAGAGCGCCTCTCGGAGCCTGCTTGGTCTCACGCTTTCCGATGACCTAAGATGGAACAAATACATTGAATCAATAGCTTCATCTACCGCAAGGAAAGTTGGTTATCTGTGTCACGCTAGTAAGTTTTTCTCGCCTGAGTTCATCCTTCTGATCTATAAATCAACCATTCGCCTTTGCGTGGAATATTGCTGCCATATATAGTCTGGAGCCCCCGCTGTTCGTCTCAAGGTCCTCGACAAAACCCAGAAGCCGATATGCATCTCGTCTACAGTCACTTTCTCACAGAAGTGCCGTCACTTCAATCTGTCTTTTCTACAAGTACTTTCACGGTAACTGCTCCGACGAGCTATTTTCGCTGTTTCCCAGACTGCAGGAATTTAAGCGCGTTACTAGATTGGCATCTCAGTCCCATCCTTTTACTGTCGAATCGGTTAAATGTAGCCGTCTCTTCTGCAATTGCATGTTCCGCACTTCCCGTTTGTGGAAGTCCCTTCCTCTTACTTGCTTCCCTGGCTCTTACAGTCTTCAAATATTCAAATATAATGTCAATGGACATCTTCTGACGCCTTGATCTAATTCCCCGTTTTTCTCTTTATCCTTTCCTCAATCACGTCTCTTTATTCTTGCTCTCATTCTGCTAGTGACACTCCCGCCTTGCTTGGGGTGAAATACTTTAAAAAATAATAAGTAATGTTAACCTCTTTCGGATGTACAATTATTTCTAATCAATAACATCTAGAATAATTTGAAACACAACTTTTACTGCCAACCCAGTAAACATTCGGATAATACAAAACACACCCGGCGTCCTCAAACTTCTGAGCTCATCTTGGTCCCTTGCATGGAATACTGCTACGATATATGGTCTGGAGCCCCAGACAAAATCCAGGGACGGATATGCAATGTAGTTGGTCCTGCTCTTGTATTTCCCCCGGCAGTCACTTTTTCACAGACGTGCCGTCACTTTCCTCTGTCTTTTCTACAAGTGTATTCACGGTAACTGCTCCTACGAGCTACTTTCACTGGTTCCCAAACTGCATGTATTTAAGCGTGTTACTAGGTCGGCATCTCAGTCCCACCTTTTTGCTGTCGAAACTGTTAAATGTAGCCGTCTCTTCTACCCCATTAGCTTTATATCTCGCACTTCTCGTCCGTGGAACTCCCTTTCTCTTGATTCTCTGATAGCTATACTCTTCAAATATTCAAATGCAATGTCAATCGACTTCTCCAGATGCCTTGATCTAATTCCCCGCCCTTCTCTTCATCCTTTCCTCTATCACGCCTCTTTACTCTTGCTCCCAATCACTGTAACCCCTTACGTGCTAGTGGCACTCCCGCCTTGCTTGGGGTGAAAAGCCTAATAAAAAAAAATGTAGAAAATGAATATTCTAGAAATTTAGCGTGTTTATCCTAAAGGATGGTAAAAAAAAAAATAGCAATTTAGAAATATAACATTTTTAGTTTATTCTAATTACTACATTTTTAAATACACACACACACACACACACACACACATATATATATATATGTGTGTGTGTGTGGTGTGTGTGTGTGTAAAAATATATAGAAAATAGGAAAGAACTCGTTAGGTAAATAATCCAAAGTTCTTTAATATTTTTGTTATTATTTTTTAAAAATAGTGCTCGATACAAAAGTAGAGCATAAATATAATTATTTATTTAAAAATATGATTCCATCGCTACATACATATGTAGCGTTGGAATATTTTTTAAATAAACTATATATATATATATATAAATATATATATATATATATGTGTGTCTGTGTGTGTGTGTGTGTGTGTGTGTGTGTGTGTAAGCAAATGTAAATGAATATAGATCCGACAGAATGAAGAAAAATTTGGAAAAAACAAACAAAAATCCTTACATGCAATTATGTTGCTTAAAATGAATGAAATGTCGACGTCTGACGTTTCGGTTTAATAAACCTTCTTCAGGACAATATTCATTAAAATACAATTCAGTTCAATTTGACAAAGACGATGGACATAAACAACAAGTCTTATCCAAAACAGATAACTGAAAATTTTTAAAATGATCAGCTTAGATCCTAATAGAATTCTTTTCATTTTCTTTTTCATTCAAAATAATCAAAAATTTTTAGGAATACATTTTGAAAGCGTCGCCCATGTGACGACAACGTGACCATGCTAAACGGAAAGCTGATCATTTTAAAAATTAAAAACTGGTTAAGGCGGTGGAGAACGTGGAGAAGGGAATTAATACGAGATAACTGATAACTGATATCCATGAGACATGGCACGTGAAACTAGAACGGTCTACCCCAGCGAGAGAAATAAAGGGTTCAGTTCGACATTCCAACCACCTAAAGAAAGCCGGAGCATATAACGGCCGAAACGTTGTGATAAATATGGCAACAAAGATGAGGATGATAGTCCGAACAATGTAAATAGTGTACATAATACCTCATCTCAGAAATATAGACAGATACTGAAAGGCCGAAACGTTATAATAAATATGGCGACAAAGATGAGGATGATAGACCGAACGATGTAAATAGTGTACATAATACCTCATCTCAGAAATATAGACAGATACTGAAAGGCCAAAACGTTGTAATAAATATGGCGACAAAGATGAGGATGATAGACCGAACAATGTAAATAGTGTACATAATACCTCATCTCAGAAATATAGACAGATACTGAAAGGCCGAAACGTTGTAATAAATATGGCGACAAAGATGAGGATGATAGTCCGAACAATGTAAATAGTGTACATAATACCTCATCCCAGAAATATAGACAGATACTGAAGGGCCAAAACGTTGTGATAAATATGGCGACAAAGATGAGGATGATAGTCCGAACAATGTAAATAGTGTACATAATACCTCATCTCAGAAATATAGACAGAAATCATTGTCATTAATGAACTCATAATAATAATGTTACCAAATTCGTAAAACAATACATTAATCTACTAGGTTTTTGTTTTAACAGATTACGGCATTGATTCGTGAATTTGGTGACATGATTTATTGCGCGTAACGGAAATCGGAACTCGACTCTCCAATTAATTATTCCGAGACGTTATCTATTATACTACTAGTACAACCAAGCTTACAGCACATGGTATTCGCAATCGGTCACCCATCTAGGTAGTCACCATGCTCGACGTTCCTTAACTTCGGGAACCAGTGAAAAAAAGATAGATAGATAGATAGATAGATAGATAGATAGATATAATAAGAAGAGATAGATAGATAGATAGATAGATAGATAGATAGATAGATAGATAGATAGATAGATAGATAGATACGAACATCGAGATAGATGCGAACACTGAGATAGATAGATAGATAGATAGATAGATAGATAGATAGATACGAACATCGAGATAGATGCGAACACTGAGATAGATAGATAGATAGATAGATAGATAGATAGATAGATAGATAGATACGAACATCGAGATAGATGCGACCACTGAGATAGATAGATAGCTAGATAGATAGATATGAACCAACTGGAATAGATAGATAGATAGATAGATAGATAGATAGATAGATAGATAGATAGATACGAACACCGAGATATAATAATTGTAATGGTAATATTCCTAATAGTACACCCTGAATTTTATCATAGATTCAGCGTGTGTGCCTGTTATAAAGTTCGTATAACGCTCGTTGTTCCGGTTAATAATACCATAAGGAAACACTGGAGAAAAAGGTTGAGTGAAGAACAGGTTTAATCACATGAGAGACATGGATCAATCATAGAGAATACCGTTGTTCAATGCGTACGACTCAAACACTACGCTTTACCACCCATTTTGTGACGACTGTTCTTATGAGCAGACATTCTACTCATTGCAGATGGACGAGTCCATGTTCAACAATTAGTGGGAGAAAAGTCGGTCGACTTTCTACATAACAGTACCATCACTGCTCTCATTCCAATTCCATATCTTAGTTTCTCTTTTAAAAAAAGTTTGAGTGCTAGTTTTGGGACATTTGGTAGAGGATATTGATTTTCTCCTCAGAATTATTCCTATCCCAACTATGAATGCCTACATCATCAGCATAGCTTATAACGTTTCGACTGTTGTGTTTTCCGGTCTTCCTCAGGCGTATCTATTTAAGATTAAATAAACAATTCAATTCATAAGTCCCTGTAGATTACTCAGATGGATATACACCCGAGGAAGACCGACTGAAACATTGTGATAACATGAAGAAAGATGTGGATATTAGTCCGAATATTAATTGTGGAAAATAACGATAACTTCTCATCTCAGAATTTCAGATAAAACTATTGTTTTTGGTAATAAAATGATAACTATTTAAAGTGGGTACCTCCACTGAAAAACAGCGTCCTGGGTATGACAATAAACTGCATCCGCGTCCTGGGTAAGACGATAAACTACGTCCAACAGCAAGGCCTCTGATCTTAATTGCTGGTGTTCCCAGGTCTATCCAGACCCCGGGGTGGGAGAACCTGTTAAGATCACAGTTATGGGCAAATAGTTGATCCCACAACCTGACTCAAAAAACTATGAAAGTGTAAAAAATAGATTTTAATACCAGAAACACTTTAAAAAAAATTAGTATCAGCAATAAATATTTGAAAAAAGAAAATATTACCAGAAATAAAAATCTTGTCAGCATTAAATAATTCATTGAGATTAATATGCCACAAAACAAAACAAACCAAACTATACATTTTTAAAAAAAATATTACCAGCTATACAATTTTTTTTTAAAAAAGGAAATTTTGTCGGCATTAAATAACCCATTGTGGTTGATATGCCGTAAAACAAGAGAAACCAAACCAATCCACTGAAAAACAGTGTATCTTGATGAAAAAAGGTCAGGACTTAATAAAAATAAAATTTTATCGTCAAAATGTTTACTTTATTATTAAGAGGAAAGACTATAATTTTTATTATTTTATTAGATTAATTAATCCTTTCTAATAGGTTCGAAATTTTGGTTAAACATCTTATTTTACGTCAGCAGTTGAAGTAATAATTACGTTTAGTGTTTTTGCGCTTTTTCCGGTAAAAAATACATTGGTTCGGGAATATGTATTTTACTTTGAGAAGATTTTTAAAACCGATAATCAAATTTTGTTCATCATCATCATAATCCCCTTGACTTTTATAATCGTAGGTCGGCGGATCCGAATGCAGAAGCCACACTAACTCTTTTCCAAAGCGGTTTATTAACGGCAGCCATTAACAACTCTGGTACAGTCATACCTGTTCATTTTTTTTGACATTGTTCAACCAGTTTTCGCGTTGGCGTCCTCTCCTGCGTCCATCTTCAAAGGTGCGTTGCATGATGGTATTGCACAAGTTGTCGTGCCTTGTAATGTGTCCAAAACACGCCACTTTTCTCCGTTTCACAGTGGGGAGAAGAGGTTCCTGATGTCTCACAAAACTTTCAACCCTTTTCCGTACAAACTCATTGTTTTCTTTGTTCCCAGTAGAAAATGCCAAGGAGTTTTCTCATGCATTTGTTCCCAAATGCTTGGATCCTTCTCTCTTTATCTACCAACAGTGCCCATGTTTCACATCCATATAGGAGGATGGAGACTACCGGCGATTTGTACAGTCTGTACTTTGTTTGAAAGTTGCTTTTGCTCCTCCATGTTCTTGTCAATTTGGTCATCAGTGCAAATGTGTTAAAATGTGCTAAAAATGGCCGCTTGTAATCGATGTTTTGAAAACGAGCGAAAAATTGACATTCTAATCTATTTCTCTTTGAAATACACCAGATCATTTTACTGGAAATAGTAAATTTAATCATTTTGCTTTCCATTATAGCTAAAATGAAATCTTCAACAATACTTTTTCATTTTTAAAAAAATCATTCTAAAACTTAGACATCGATAATTCAGTGGAGTTCTCCTTAATTTAAAGGTCTCCCTAATTTAAAGCCATAAATAAGGACAAACTATTAATTTTACGTTAATGGTAATTTGTAATATTACATAATATATATTGAAGAATATAAATATCTAAAATTTATTTGAAGTCAAGAGCGTACAAAATATTTAGCTTAGCGCTAGAATTCCCCTCTTCGAGCGACGAAACAAGTTTCTCTGTATGTTTGTCCTGGAAATCTAAATCCCTCGGAAAAAAAATTCAGCCGTTACCGACGCTACATGTTTACAATTACCAAGCGTGTACATTTTTTCTACTTGTATGTTTATAAGTATTTCACTCGACAAAAATACTAAATTGCAATCACAGAGGAGAGTAAATCCGCCATGTTACCATAAAAAACGTGCGTTTCTATTTGCGTAAATCAACGCCTGCTTGTTGGTTGAAATAGTCGTGCTTAAGAATCTGAGGTTAAGAAAGAGGACACAGTCTTAATGATCTGCCTCCTAGTATCCGTTAACTTGTAAAATATGAAATAAACCATCCGACTTATTTATTACTCTAATCCTGTTCAGGATGATATGATAAGATAAGGAAGGAAGGAAGGAAGGAAGGAAGGAAGGAAGGAAGGAAGGAAGGAAGGAAGGAAGGTGTGCATATGATGAAAGAAAAGGAAAAACAGTAAATATGAAGTAAAGAAATAAACGTAAAAGTAAGACTAAATGTTTGCCTTGAAAGAAAGAAAGAAAGAAAGCAGGCCGAAAGGAAGGAAGGAAGGAAGGAAGAGACTGGAGCAGATTACGATAGATAGATAGATAGATAGAAAACATACATGTCAACCGTATTTGAAAAATCTATAGGAAGGAAGGAAGGAAGGAAGGAAGGAAGGAAGGAAGGAAGGAAGGAAGGAAGGAAGGTGTGCATATGATGAAATAAAAGGAAAAACAGTAAATATGAAGTAAAGAAATAAACGTAAAAGTAAGACTAAATGTTTATCTTGAAAGAAAGAAAGAAAGAAAGCAGGCCGAAAGGAAGGAAGGAAGGAAAAGAGAAAGATTACGATAGATAGATAGATAGATAGAAAACATACATGTCAACCGTATTTGAAAAATCTATAGGAAGGAAGGAAGGAAGGAAGGAAGGAAGGAAGGAAGGAAGGTGTGCATATGATGAAATGAAAAGGAAAAACAGTAAATATGAAGGAAAGAAATAAACGAAAAGTAAGACTAAATGTTTGCCTTGAAAGAAAGAAAGAAAGAAAAGCAGGCCGAAAGATAAGGAAGGAAGGAAGAGACTGGAGAGATTACGATAGATAGATAGATAGATAGAAAACATACATGTCAACCGTATTTAAAAATCTATAGGAAGGAAGGAAGGAAGGAAGGAAGGAAGGAAGGAAGGAAGGAAGGAAGGAAGGAAGGATGATGAAGGAAGGAAGGTGTATATGATGAAATGAAAGGAAAATACAGTAAATATGAAGTAAAGAAATAAACGTAAAAAGTAAGACTAAATGTTTGCCTTGAAAGAAAGAAAGAAAGAAAGCAGGCCGAAAGGAAGGAAGGAAGGAAGGAAGAGACTGGAAAGATTACGATAGATAGATAGATAGATAGAAAACATACATGTCAACCGTATTTGAAAAATCTATAGGAAGGAAGGAAGGAAGGAAGGAAGGAAGGAAGGAAGGAAGGAAGGAAGGAAGGAAGGTGTGCATATGATGAAATAAAAGGAAAACAGTAAATATGAAGTAAAGAAATAAACGTAAAAGTAAGACTAAATGTTTATCTTGAAAGAAAGAAAGAAAGAAAGAAAGAAAGAAAGAAAGAAGGCAGGATGATAGGAAGGAAGGAAGGAAGAGACTGGAACAGATTACGATAGATAGATAGATAGATAGATAGATAGATAGATAGATAGATAGATAGAAAACATACATGTCAACCTAATTTAAAATATCTATAGGAAGGAAGGAAGGAAGGAAGGAAGGAAGGAAGGAAGGAAGGAAGGAGGATAGGAAGGAAGGAAGGAGTGCATATGATGAAAGAAAAGTTAAAACAGTAAATATGATGTAAAGAAAGAAACGTAAAAGTAAGACTAAATGTTTACCTTGAAAGAAAGAAAGAAAGAAAGAAAGAAAGAAAGACAGAAAGAAAGAAAGAAAAAAGAAAGAAAGAAAGAAAGAAAGACAGAAAGAAAGAAAGAAAAAAGAAAGAAAGAAAGAAGGCAGGCCGACAGGAAGGAAGGAAGGAAGGAAGGAAGTAGTGCATATTATGAAAGAAAAGGAAAAACAGTAAATACGAAAAAAATTAACATAAAGTAAGACTAAATGTTTACCTAGAAAGAAAGAAAGAAAGAAAGAAAGAAAGAAAGAAAGAAAGAAAGAAAGAAATGCAAGTGGTGGGAGGTCGGAAAGAAGGAAGGAGACCATATTTTGAAAGAAAAGGAAAAACTGTAAATACGAAGAAATTAACATAAAGTAAGACTAAGTGTTTACCTTGAAAGAAAGAAAGAAAGAAAGAAAGAAAGAAAGAAAGAAAGAAAGAAAGAAAGGGAGAATTTTGAGAAAAGAAAGAAGAAAAGAATGAACGCAAGCGGAGAGCTTCTTTGAAAGAAAGAAAGAAAGAAAGAAAGAAAGAAAGAAAGAAAGAAAGAGAGGGAGAATTTTGAGAAAAGAAAGAAGAAAAGAATGAATGCAAGCGGAGAGCTTCTTTGAAAGAAAGAAAGAAAGAAAGAAAGAAAAAAGAAAGAAAGAGAGGAGAATTTTTGAGAAAAGAAAGAAGGAAATAATGAACTCAAGCGGAGAGCTTTTGGAAAGAAAGAAAGAAAAGAAAAGAAAGAAAGAAAAAAGAAAGAAAGAAAAGAGAGGGAGAATTTTGAGAAAAGAAAGAAGAAAAGAATGAATGCAAGCGGAGAGCTTCTTTGAAAGAAAGAAAGAAAGAAAGAAAGAAAGAAAGAAAGAAAGAAAGAAAGAAAGAGAGGGAGAATTTTGAGAAAAGAAAGAAGAAAAGAATGAATGCAAGCGGAGAGCTTCTTTGAAAGAAAGAAAGAAAGAAAGAAAGAAAGAAAGAAAGAAAGAAAGAAAGAAAGAATGAAAGAAAGAAAGAAAGAGAGGGAGAATTTTGAGAAAAGAAAGAAGAAAAGAATGAATGCAAGCGGAGAGCTTCTTTGAAAGAAAGAAAGAAAGAAAGAAAGAAAGAAAGAAAGAAAGAGAGGGAGAATTTTGAGAAAAGAAAGAAGAAAAGAATGAATGCAAGGGAGAGCTTTTGAAAGAAAGAAAGAAAAAAAAGAAAAGAAAGAAAGAAAAATGAAAGAAAGAAAGAAAGAGAGGAGAATTGGAGAAAAGAAAGAAGAAAGAAATGAATGCACGCGGAGAAAAAAAAAGAAAGAAAGAAAGAAAGAAAAAGAAAGAAAGAAAGAATTTTGAGAAAAGAAAGAAGAAAAGAATGAATGCAAGCGGAGAGCTTCTTTGAAAGAAAGAAAGAAAGAAAGAAAGAAAGAAAGAAAGAAAGAAAGGGAGAATTTTGAGAGAAAAAAAGAAGAAAATAATGAACTCAAGCGGAAAGCTTATTGGATTGAAAGAAAGAAAGAAAGAAAGAAAGAAAGAAAGAAAGAAAGAAAGAAAGTAAGTATGGCACAAGGAAGAATTGCAAAATATAGAACATTGCAGAGAAAAACAGAACCAATTGACCAAACAAACAAACAAACAATAAACAAATAACAGGAACGTTAAATAAACAATTTACAAAATCAACATGCAAAACGACACGACGCCGTGAAGCAGTCTTTCTTAGTTTCACAGATCGTTACAAATGTCTATTCTTTATAGAGTACACATGTACCAATAAGTTTAGTATATAAGGTTTAGTATATCAAGAGGCAATGTGTAGGACGTAACATTACTTCTATTCTTGTTCCATGTGCCATGTCCTTTCAGGACATGGACGCTCATGGATCTCCTCTACTTTCTGAAGTAACTTTTTGGTTATTTGCCATTTCTCTTTGTCGCACTTCAGCTTTCAGTTCTCGCGGCATCATTAAGTAGGCTACTAGATTTTTCTCCCTGGTTTTGCTGTCTTCAATATATGTTGTGAATGGTGACTTCAATGTCCAATTTTTAAATTTACACGAAAATTTACATATACCTGATACTGAGCACTTTAAGCCATAAATATACCATATCTTAAAACTATGTTTTATCATATATATATATATATATATATATATATATATATATATATATATATATATATATATAAACCTAGAGAGTTAGACAAACCTACCAAAGTTTCACATAAGCGGATCGTCTTTTCTGACGATCCGCTTAGATGAAACCTTGGTAGGTTTGTTGCCTCTAGGTTTAACTAGGTCTGCTCTACTTACCGTATTGAGTACTCTATTTAGTTGTTTTGCCTACTCGTATCGGTTTTTTTTCTTTGGGCTTTGGACTTGTATGCTAGACGATTATTTTCGACTAACGTATATGTCCTTGGTTCTTTCTTTTTTTATACCTTTTTTTCCCCTTTGGTATTGGTTTGATTATTTGCAAATCAAGACACCGAAGGTTTTCCGAACGAGTATAGTTTCTTATACTTATTTCTAAATGATTTATATTAATGATATATATATATATATATATATATACACAATGGGTAGCAAAAGTATTTAACACATTGGTTTTTCTTACATATCTCAAAAAATAACAGATCAATTTCAACGAAACTTATAGGAAATATTTAAACGAACATTGTCGATCAAAACATAGAAGGAAAATTTAAAACATATTTTGAGCTTTCTGATTGGTTAACCCTTCTCTTGGTGGACTATAAAATGAGTCAGCTCATTTTAGCTAGCTCACTAGTACAAAAACTACCCAAAAATTTTAACAGTAATTATAACTTTTCTTGTTGTTCCTATTTTACTCATAACTTCCTCATAGCTGACGTATTCTTAGCGTCTGTCGGTAGAGCAACATCTCTCCCTCATCTGTGAGGAGATTTTCCAGCATTCACTGCGATATGGATTAAATATTACATGACAGTTCAACACTCTTCTCTTGATTTTTGGGGTTTTAACATTATTTTCCTATATATATATAGTAGATTTTTTGTAGTTTCTAGAGAACACGTTTCGTTGTCCTATACGCCTTAGAAATTGTGTCATCGTCTGTTAATATAATACCGAGAATTCCTGTACCTGCTTGAATTTGACAACCCCAGTATGTAGCTAACACCTTGGATTGTCTCTTTTGCTTACGACTAGGCATTCTGTTTTCTTATAGACAACAGTTAGTCCTTTCTTCTTCCTTTCTCTCATAACCTTATCTAAGAGTTCTGTCAGGGTTACTTTTTGAGTTTGTCATCACACTGTCTTTAGTTTTATTCATGTTATAAGATTATGTCTGCCGATAATAAATCCTGGTAAGTATTTTAGTTCTCTTAGGATCCTTGATAGTAGTCAATTATGAAATCTGACTACAAACGCCAATTTCATAATAACCAATTTAAACATAATTTTTTTTAGGAGTTGATTTATAACTTTGACTGAAGACTTAACATTGTTTTCACATTAAAAAGTATCATTCCGAATAAACTCCTTGTTGGTGCGTGCTCATGAAAATATATCAGAAAATGCCAAGCAGAAGATAACATTTTGGTGGTGCCATAATAAAAACTGCCAACTACAAGATAATTTGTCAATGTGTCAATATAAACAGTAAATAGTAACCGAAGAAAGAAAGAAAGAAAGAAAGAAAGAAAGAAAGAAAGAAAGAAAGAAAGGTGAACAGACGAAAAAGAATTACGTGAAGTAAAATCATATAAAATCCTATCTCTGTCCCATAACAAAAGCTACATTAATTGTATGCAATATATATATACAAATGGAACAAACATTATGGGACAGATGTACAAAATTAATATAAACTAAAATAGTAAATAGATAACTAAAATTAATATAAAATCCTATCTCTGTCCCATAACTGATGCTACATTAATTATATGGAATATATATTCATATGGAACAAACATTATGGGACAGATGTACAAAATTAATATAAACTAAAATAGTAAACAGATAACTAAAATTATATAAAATCTTATCTCCATCCCATAATTAATGCTACATTAAGTGTATGAAATATATATTCAAATGGAGCAATCATTATGGGACAGATGTACAAAATTAATATGAGTGGAAAAGAAATATTAAAATGATAAATAATATAAAATCCTACATCAGTCCCATAATGTTCTTTAAATAAATTGCTTTAAATAACCTACAAACGGTTGATAAGCCGTAAGAAATGAATCAGTCGTCGAGCAAACAAGCAAGAAGAAAATGCCCAGAAAAAGCCAGGTAGGAGATAACCCGTAGCCGACATGAGATAATTCCTCGTCGGCATCAGATAACTCGTAGCCGGCGACATAATAAAAACTGCCAACCACGTTTTAACTCGTCCTTGGCATTCGATGTGTTAAAATGGTTTTATAGATTTATTAAAACATTTCGTGAAATTATGCAAACTCTCAAATTAATGCGCGTGATATATAAAAAGACAACTTGGACATATGAAAATATGTAGACATGGCTTTTACTGACAAAGTTTCCTTGAAGTTTCATGTATCAAGTGAACGTGTATTCAACATCAGTGTCTAAATATAATATATGCAATGAGGCATGGCCTACAAGAAAACGCGACTGTACTTGTCACATTAAAGGCTGGTTTCTAACAGACTGGTTTAAAAGAAACAAGCTAAATTGTTTCGGACAGAAGGTTGCTTAGGATATATGGCTAACATAGATAAATATGCCCAGAACCCCCCCAACAAAAAAAACGTAGTATGAAAATGTAGTTTTTTTTTTTGTTTGTTTTTTTTATTCACACCGTTATTTCAACTGTCCTCCTCGGCAATGCTTATTGATTGAAAAAGCCATTATTAGAATTGCAATAAAACCTAAACATAAAAAAAGTGAAGATAACGGTTAACTCGAGACTTGACCAGCTTAAGATTGCAGTGAAATGAGAAACATCCTATTGGGAGACTGCTCCACAGGGCAGTGGTCCGTGGGAAGAAGTTGTTGGAATACGGAGCGAATGTGGGTGGTCTGCTACTAAGTGGCATGGCGGGTCCTAGTCGTGTAGATTAGACCTAACGGAAAAAAAGAATGTAGTTCGTCCGAGCACTTTCCATGGTAATAGCGATAGAGCCGTGAGAGACTCGTTGCATTCCGCCTAAGAGGTTGAAGGGTGGAAAATAATTCTTCTAACAAGAACTCGGAGACGCTTTTGAACTCCATCAAAATTGGAAAATGAGAACTGGTCAACTCCCGTCCAAATATGTCAACAGAACTTCATTTTCTCTCAAAGTAAAATGCATATCGTATTAATATAGATAATTTTCCTTACCTCAAATAATGTAGAACCGCCTACTGTTACCAGGTGGAGATCTATTGGTGTCTGCTGTCGACACTTTGTATTTGTACAATGTACGCACGGACGTAGTAATAAGCAAGTGAATACAATAATTACTTATACATTAGAACACCTGGCTGTCATTTTTTAATGGTAGTTTTCTAATAATCCAGATCTTGCTACAATTAGAATATTGATTTTTGAGCACACCAGAAGCATAGCAAAGAAAGAATACTTCTCCAAATTTTAATGTAATTATAGTTTCGGTATCTTACCTGAAATGTATGAATTTTTGTAGTAAAATGAAGGATTATATTTAAGGCCCGTGAACCACTCAAGATAGATGGTTACTTAATGAGATTGTTGTAAGCGCGTAAAAGGGGAAAGAAGCGGTGCATATGAGGATATGTAGGATAGATAACGGTTGACCCAAGACTTGAAGATTATGCAGTGGTCGGGTAAGCATCCGCTCAGGAGTTTATTGCACAAGGTAACGGTCTTTGGGAAAAAGTTGTTTGGGTGGAACTGCTTCTTACCAAATGAATACAAAGGGAATGGCGAGGATTTGGCGCCTTGTACGTGGTATGGTGGGTTTCAGTAGTGAAGGCCTGAACTGGTGGAACGAAGGAATGTAGTCCGTTTAAACAGTTGCCATAGAAACAGGCCTAGAGTAGCGAGATGTCAGCAAAGTTTCTTCTGTGGGAAAAATTGTTGCAAGGTCGAAAATAATTGCCTCCGCCCAACACACAATGCTTTTGAACTTTGTCGAGGCTGGGAAGAAAAGATCGGGCAGTTCCAGCCCGGAAGTGACATCAATGCTTTATCTTTGGTCTGATCTAATTCTTGTAAAGATAAAGAATTGAAGACTTTCGGATGCGTTGGTGAAAATGATGAAAAAGTTTAGGTGTTTTAATTGAACTGTGACATTGAAATACGAAGGCGTATTGGGATAGTCACAGATGCATTCCAAAAGATAAGAAGCCTACTAAGAAATAGAAAAACAAAAGAAAGACTACTAAACAGTTACGTGATATATGTCCTCCTGTATGGCAGTGAGTGCTGGACAATCACCTCAAAAATGAAGAAAAGACTTGAAGCAAAAGAAATGTGGTTTTACAGAAGGATGCTGAGGATACCATGGACTGAACATGTGAGCAACGACGAAGTTCTAGAGATAATAACAACAACGAGGACACTTTATATTCAACACCAGGAAGAGACAGTTGAAATTTCTACAGAAGGATGCTGAGGATACCATGGACCGAACATGTGAGCAACGACGAGGTTCTAGAGACAATGACAACAAAGAAGACACTTATACTTAACACTCGGAAGAGAGAGTTGAAATTTCTACAGAAGGATGCTTAGGATACCATGGTCCGAATTTCTCAGCAGCGAATAATTTCTAGAGACAACAGAAACAAAGAAGGACACTTATACATAACATCAAGAACAGACAGTTGAACTTTCTAGGGCAAATAATGAGGAAAGAAAGCTTGGAAAATCTGATACTCACAGAACATTGAAGGCAAGAAGGACAGAGAAAAACTGCTCATAACCTACCTTACGAGTATGTGGAAATTGTTGGCAAAACAGAGATTATGAGTGACAACAAAAAGACAAAACTTTCCTAAGAACTACAAAGGACTGGAATTTGTTTATAATCAATATCACGCACTTGCTGAAGACACGAAGCACGAATTAAAAGCATTTTACAGGTTATTTAAAGCCAGAACATTTTTTTACATGGTAAGCATTTGTTCTTGAGATATGTTGTGGTAGGATCCACCTAATTTGCATAGTGGAGTACCGACCATATAAATATGGTTGGTACCGGGAAGAGAGGGAGGAATCAAGAGATTCAACCAGAGACTCTGTCCGACTGAGACTCAGTCAGCACATTCTCCAGGAACGGTCTTACCAGGAATATACAAAACACTATATGTAAATATTGTGTACACTTTCTTGTTTCAATACATTTTGTTCTAAGTACATTTTGTGTTGCATTATTATTCCATGCATTAGTCAAGTTTCAACAAGATAATAATGATTTACTGATATAAGTTCTACTAATTAACCCGTAGCTAGGGGGTTATATGGATCCATACCTTCCCCAAGGGAAGACAAATATAACGAACTTGAGTGAAAATAGAACCCGTCTCCCTGATTTCCATTTCCGTGCTGTTATCCATTTCACCTGTCGCATACCCAACCTGCAACTCATGGTATTGCCAAGCGGTCACTCATCAAGCTATGAACCAGATTCGATGTTGCTTAACGTTGTCGATCAGACCAGAATTGGGTGTTCAACGTGATATAACCACAAGAAGAAGAAGCTGCCTTGGTCTATTTTTTTGGACTTATTTCATTTTCCCTACCCTGGTAGTCAATATTCAAGAGGGTCAGATGAAAACAACGCCTGAACCTACTTAATGAACTTGAGTAAATGGATGGCGGGACAAGGTTTAAGAGAAATAACAGATAGACAAAATATATTAAGAGAGACAAAGAACAGGAAGTTGTGGAGAGTCATGATTGCCTACGTCCAAGTAGAAGAAGCTTTGCTTTAAAGTGATTACAGATTATCCCATAAGACGTTCTAGACAGAATTTGATCTTGATCTTCTTTTACTGTGTCTCTGCCTCATTCTAGACTAAGCTAATCTTTGTAAATAATAAAAGACAGACAGGCATAGTTAATTGGATGACTCAAACTGTACACGAGTAAAATGAGTCAAATAAAAAAGGAGAGTCAAATAAAAAAGGAGAGTCAAATAAAAAAGGAGAGAAAATGATAGAAGAAATGTATAAACACTAGCAATAAATAAACGGATAAAGAAAACAAAAAAAAAACAGAGATAGACACATTTCATTGGAAGTATCAATCTAGGAGTGATAATTGAAGGGAAAAAAACATCCAAAAAACAAAATTATCGCAGAGAAAATAAAATCTCTCTAAAAAAAAATCTGTTTTTCTTTTAAATTTGTTTCTCCTAATTTTCCCGGTATCTGATTTTTTGCCACCGACACAGTTTCCTCTGGCAACTTTTATTGCGCAAAGAAAACATATTTTAGGGGTCATATTTGCGTCTCCTTGCTAATTTCTTTTGTCCATGACAAAATGCAACTGGCCCTATTGAAAAGAAACACTGTATCCTGCATATTGACATTACAAATAGTGCTGTGTTCTGTCGACGCTAAAATTAAACGCCGCTTGGGGGTAGCACTGTCAACAGAGAGGGTCTATCATTCCACGTTTATCAGTGACAAGATCTTAAGGAGAAAAGTGCGAAAAGTCATTAAAAAAAGAGTGAACACATGGAAAAAATAAAAACAAGCCTTGCACAAATTTTCTTGGGTTTATTTTTTATTTGCGTGAAAGAATATTAAAAACAAAAAAAAAAA